AGGGGCTGATTCTGGCTGTATGGACAGAAATTTATRTATTCCTACAGCTGTGGGCTATTGCAACTCTGCCTCACAGACAGTAAGACAGGAGCCAGCTCCTGTCCTTGTTTTATGCAATAAAATGCATTTTCTGCTGTGCAGGACCCCATGTACCCATTGGGTCTATTAAATGGGAGTAAATTGAGCTTTGTGCTGTTAAGACAAGTCCTGTTAGAAACCCCAGGTCAAAAAGAAGTCCACAACATTTGTGGGGAACGATGGCTGCTAATACAATAAGCCTAAACCATTTCTAAACTTCTCCCTCCATTAAGCAAAAATAATCAGTATCATTACATTTTATATTTTGTGAATGGAAATAATATTATATGCATTCTGAACATGAACAGATTCGAATTTGCTTTCAGCAAGAAATGTGAACATTTTAATGGAAGGACTATATGTATTGYTGTTGAATACACCAACTTCCAGATAGTTAATTTTGGCAATGAGAAATKACTTGTGATGTGATAAAGGCAATGAATGAAGCACTTCAGAGAATCAGAGGGTAACATTATCCATAACTTCCATCAATCATGACAAAAGATGGCAAAACAAAGTTACTCACAGGGATGGGTGAGGGTACTGATCGAAGGGTGCTGTGCCTTTACTCAAAGTAATCTTGATTTTAGCTTCTTAAAAGTATTTTACCATGGCTCAGGAAGTCCTTAAACCATGGATTGATGGAGATTAAGAGAAAATACCAGGGAACTACCAGCATAGACTTACTTTGATCTTGACATTTTTACTAAATAGGGTATCTGAGCTGGTACGGCTCTTACATTTTCAAGTTAATGGCCAAATCCAAAAAGTAGCTAAAAGAAGGAATTAAAGYAGAATATAAACATCTAAATCCAACATTGAAATAAAAAGGTTCTCTCAGCTYTTGCCCAATCYTAGAAGCACCCAGATCAGGAGGTAYCTACCTTYGGTGTCCAAGAACCTCAAATGTACAACAGTAAATTTCCACCTAAGCCTGGAACCTCCTGTGCCTCCACTTCCTCAGTGGATCTGAATCCTGCTTTATTCTGCCAGGGATGGTTACAGATGGTTTAGCTCGTTGAACTTGGAGCAAACCACATGTTTGAGTTCATGAGCTCAGTTTGTGCTAAGGAAATGCAGCTGAGAAGGTAAAAAAAAAAAATAAAGTAAACCATCTGAGACAAAAGAAAGGAAGGGTAGAGGAGTCTTTAGTTCAGCAGGATTGGTCCTTCTGGAAAGGGAATTGTGTGTGTACCTCACCTTCCTGGCTGGAATTCACAAACAGCTCTTGGAGGAAGACTGAAMCTTGAGATCAGATAGGTGCTCTCACCACTAAACTGAAAATTATATTCACCTTTGATCTWCCTCTTACAGCTCAATGAATCTTTAATTCTTTTTATGCAGCGAAGAACAGATTCAGCATAAGGGCATGCAGTGCTCTCCTCCCTGCTCTCCCCATCTCTTCTGGGTACTTTGCACCCTGGAAGACTTTTGTCACTCCCCAGGGAACACAGGCTGGTATTCAAGCTGAACCCAGACCTTCTCGTTGTCACCCTGCTGATAGCCTCCCTGAGAAATACAGATGRCCAGCTGCAGCCTGGAGGAGTGCCCTGTGTTTGCCTCTGCATGGACAGGCTCTGCCCAAATCCTGAAAGGTGGCTCAGCCCCAGSGACAGGCATGGTTTGAAAAATCATCCCTGAGCTCCTTCAGCCATCAGATTGTGTTCTTTGTCTCTCTTGGGAGAGGGCATTTTACAGCAGTATCCAACCTAGAGAACAAGCTGAAGAAAATCCAGCTCAGAACACCCAACACCTGGAAATCTGAGACTACTCTCCTGGAAGACTGGAAAGAGTTTTAAAAACTTTGCTCCAAATCTGACAAATGGTGAAATGCTGGAACAAACCTTCAGCATCCCAGCTTGGTGTTTTCAGCATTGCTTTGTGCGTGTGTAAGGGCATGCAATAGTTGTGAGAGGCCCAATCCAGCAGATGCTCTGCAATCACTGTGGGAAATGGACCTGATGGAGCACAATATCTCTTGAAGGTTTCTAGCAACTCAAGGTAGGTGGGTGACTGTCCCTTAAAGCAGAAATTAAGGAATGGTAGTCTGTGTGCCCCTGGAATTTCGGAGCTTCAAAGCAAAATGCCCGGGTTCTTGGMCTGTCCAAATTTGGGAAATGTGTCTGAGCTGTGAGGTGCTTCCCTGAGCAGTYGTGTTTCCGAGTTCTTCCACTACATCTGAAAATGAAGTTTCAAGTTAGATCCACACAAGCTYTTAGRTGCTGAACCATTGCTTTGGCCAMCAACAGCAATCACCAAAGCTCCTGSTCAGCCACCATYGAATGCCGAGGTTCAGACACACTTTGTGCTTCACCAGGAACGCCTTGGGGTGCCCTTATTCCCTCTTTGGGCACACCCAGAGGCGCCTGAGTCTTGCCAGCCCTCAGCAGCCTGCAGTGGAGCACCAGCCTGATGCACTTTYTGAAACACCTGATGTGCCTGACTCTAAGAGAGTTTGGTACCTGTCACCCCAAATGAAGCCAGTACCTCCCTGCAGGGCAGCCAGTACTTCAGACACTTTCTGATTTGGTAATTCCCTGCTCCTTGTACTGCTGAGGTGCATCCCGTTGCACATGGAATAGCAGCCTGTATGATAATTGTAACCTAAGTGTTGCCAGGCACATTTTTACAACTCTATTCATAATATTACTAATTTTTACTCTACTATTACTGTATTCCTAATTACTAATATAGGTTCAGTAAGCGGTACCAGCTGCCTCCAGAATCACAGTGCTACGTTTTTGGGCACAAGGTACCTTGCATCACCAAGGCAATAACTCCAGGTCTCCAGGAATATAGATCCTACTGGAATTATACATTAAAGTCACATTGTGTTTACCTTAAAGCAACCTGACGAGGGATTAGCTAGGTGATCAGTCCATCTCACCGCATCACAGAGGAGTAATTAAATTATTCCCAAACAAAATTGCTTGCATTTGACACCTAATCTAACCGGTGATATCCCTGCAATCTTTTCTTCCTATTTGTTCAAGTGCTCAAGCCTCCTTATTAAGAGTCGTCCCGACTGTGACCTGCAAAAAAAAAAAAAAAAAAAAAAAAAAAAAGAAAGAAAGAAGAAAGAAAGAAGAAAGAAAGAATATATTTCTTCTTCATCTGTCGTTACTGACCCGTGGGAATTACAGACCCCCTCACATAAAATTATTCTGGCTTTGCAGAAGGGGCTGGTGAGCCTGTTTAGGATACAGTTCCCAGTACCGGTCACCTCATTATACAAGTGAGCTGCTGCAAATAGGGACGTTGCAACGGAGTCCAAATGATGCAAGAACTTAATTATTCAGAAAAGGGTTAGAAAAGCTACGGTGTGGCTGCCGTCTTTGGAAAACAAGAGATTAAAAAGCCACTTTAGGGGGGTTTGCAGAGCTCTSGGGGAATAGCAAGGATTCACATACACGGGGAGAGCAGAGCTAGTGACAAATACCAGAACAAAAGGGAAATTAGCAGAAGCTTAAGTAGGGATGAGCAGCAAAGCAGTGTAATTTATTTGTGAATTTATTTGTATTTAGCGCAGTTAATATATGGAAAATTATACTAAAGCTGGAACAGAAACAAYTATTAGAAATCATTTTACAAGGCTTTAGACACGTGTGGGGGCTTAAAATAACTCTGTGGGATGCAACTCATAATTCAGAGGAGAGGAAAAGGACTTATGTCTTCCTCACAGTCTCGTCTCTGAAAACATTTAGCTCCATTGTGCTAAGTTACTTTAATGTGACTATCCATACAATTCTCAGGGAAAGGTTTMATTTACAAGATTAATTTCCCTTCCAGCTTAAAATGTATATATGTGGAGGGAAATAATCAGAGACACTTGAACAGGCAGGGCTGAATCCCGATCTCAGCCACAGCAGAGCAAAGACCGAAAAACTCCGAAGAAAAAAATCTGGATGCACGGAGGAATGTAACTGAGATGAGATCTGGTCCTGAAGTGCTGCGCTCCAGACAGAAAAACCTTGGTGTCCCCTCTTTAAATTTCAAGGAAAGCTAACAAAAGAGTCCCAAGTCCTTGTAGGGCATTTCTACAGTTCTTGGAAGAAGCCTGTATGTTCCTGTTTGCATATGATGCCTCCAGGCCATCAGCTTCAGATCAGACTGGGCGGCTCGCTCCTTCGACCTGCAGCTCTGCGTGCTTTAAGACCAAACAGAACTGCCTTCAGCTCTGGCGATCCCGCCGGGAATTCACCCTTCTAACGCACTAAGGGAGCGTGCGACACCGGAATGTTGCCCTGGGGCAATCTCTGTAATCCCGGTATCTCTTTTCTTTCCTTCCAGGACGGGTGCTTAACCCGCCGCTCGGAGACACGTGGGTGAGATCCCAACTTTCTCTCCAGGGGAGATCCCCGCAGGCGGTTTACGATGCCAGAGCTCCCGCTGCGCTACCGCCGTTTACTCGGAAAATCACAGGCAATTAATCACAGTTTTCTCGGGGGAAAACCCACTTGATTTGGACCCGTCGTTACGCGGGGAAACTACAGAACACTGTGCTGTAACCTAACCTGAACTCTGCTAAAGGCATTTCTTCCTCGGGCTTCCCTTTCACTTATCAAGCCCTGCCTGTCTTTGGGAAGCCGGGACGGGTGTAACGGACTTGGGTTACACTTGGATGTGTTGAGGAGCAAGATGCACCCGCGATGTTGTCCCGCTCGTCTTTGCGCCAGCGAGGCTGGAGGCGGGGAGCCTGAGGAAGCCACAGGGAACACTCTGAGGTGACCTGCTGCCTGCGGGGGCTTTCCCCGGCCCCCTCCCGCACAGAGCCGTGCGTGGCGGCGGCTGCAGGGAGATCACCCCGGGGACCCGCCGCCGTCCGGGTATCGCGGAGGGGCCGTCCCGCTGCGGGCACAGAGGGATGGAGRGATGGAGAGATGCAGGGAGGAAGSGGTTTCGGGYGGCGGGTGACCGGGACAATGCGATGCGTCCCCGACCGTCCCGGCTTCAGCGGGGCGCACTTTGGGCGGCACCCGCAGTGATTCCGCTGGTGACAGCGAAGCGGGCGCGGTCCCGCCCCGCAGCCGGAGTGCCCGGGGACGCGCGGGACGCCCCGCCGCCTCTCCTCTCC